ACCAATGGCAACATACTGCAGAGTTAGAAATCATAATAAAGTGTACTTGCGTATCCTTGATATTACCCTTAATGTCCATTATTTCCTAGGCATATAAATGTCTGCCCGGTAATTTGGAGATATAGTAACATCATCAATGGTGAGGAAGAATTTGGTGAATGAGAAAAATAGGCAAGGAAGACAGTGGTTAATTTATTTTAATGGTGGGGGCGTGGCTACGGCGCTGACCAAGATGGCCGCATAGAAGGAGAGCTCCGCTCCACCCGACCCTGATAAGCCCTCGTAATAGCTTACCGCTCAGCCAAATGGGTCGCAATAAACGCCCGGAGCAACCACAGACCCCCAGGAACCTCCAGCAGGGCCCCCTGGACGGGTTTCTGCACCCACAACCAGGTGCTAGCGGGGAGGGGGGAAGCCCCAAGATGGCGCCGACCACCCCGCCGGGGCCGGATAGCACCACCCTCGAGAGGATTGAGGACAGGCTGGAGAGCCTGACGGCTTCCATGGCTACAAAGGACGACCTGAAGTCCCTTACCACAGCCATCCAGGATACCCTAAGAGCCGAAATGGCGGGTATCTGCTCTGAAGTCGCATATCAAGCATGGAGGAGACGGCTGAGGCCCTCACAGTGCGCCAAACGTCCGCGGACACAGCAATAGCCCGCCAAGGTACGCTGCTCCTATCAATGAGGAGACACCTCGAGGACCTGGATAATAGGGGTCGGAGGTGTAATATACGCATCCGGGGGGTGCCTGAGGATGAGGGTACGGCTGAAAATGTTGTGGAAATACTCACCGAAATCTTTCAGACAATCCTGCAGCCGACATCCCCAGAACACATAGAGTTCGAGCGGGCACATAGAATCACGCGACCCAGGTCCCTGGAAGACGGTCCGAGAGATCTCATTTGCTGCCTTCACTCCTTCCCTGTTAAAGACACCATCATGAGGAAGGCCAGGGAAAGACCAACGTGGCCCTATCGAAGTGCGAAGTGGCCCTATATAACGATTTGTCCCCGATCACGCTGGAAGCCTGGCGGGCTCTCCGTCCCGTGACGACCGCATTGAGGGATCGCAACATATCCTACAAGTGGGGGTTCCCCTTCGCTTTACTGGCCAGGCACCGTAACAGCTGGATCTCCATGCGCTGGCCTGAGGATGTCCCGCGGTTCATGGAGGAACTGGGCCTTCCAACACCTGTCGTCCCCAATTGGATCCTGGGATCGACGTCCCCGTTCCGAGACCGCAGAGGATGCCTAGGCGGAGGGAAGCCCGCTCCCCCTCCATTCACCCGGCCAGACGGCGCCGGAATCCGGCTTCCCCAGAAGAGTGAGTGCGGACCTTTCAGGCTGATATTGGATTCCCTAAACCCTAACACGGGTGACCCACCAGTCTAGTTTTTTTTTTTTTTTTTCTTGAGAACTTTCATGGAGACGGCGACACCAACCCCCACGGTCTGTTTGGACATTGCTGGGGCTTACGGATAAGGTGAGCCACCTCTTGGGGGGGGTCTGGGGGTATTTAAGGGTTCGGAGCACGGGCCCGTGGGCGTGCTCCTGGTTGCTCTAGCTCCGCCGGGTGACTCTCCCTGGCACTACCCTGCCGCCCTTTTCACCTGGAAGAAGCTTCACTGCTGGGAACCGGGTTTATTTGTTTTGGGGAGGGGGGCTCTCCGGGTAAAGGCGAGGGCTTTTAACGCACCACTTTGAGCTTTGAACTGCACACCGAGACTCCTGGTACCCACGTTGTTAAGTAACCTTAATTTTAAATCTTTTTTTTTTTTTTTTCCTTTCTCTCTCCCTAATCTAATTGTACATGTATCAGCGTATACTTAAGTATGTGGGATGTGGGGTGGGGGGCTTGTGGGGTGGTATATTGTGCGACTATTGGTATGTTTCTGCCTCTTGCTCGGACCCTGTGGGGTGGGAATGCAGCGGGATGGAGTAGTAGCTTGACGGGTGTCCCCCCCCCCTCCCGCTCATAGGGAGCTGGTGACAGCCTTTGACCCAGGAGAGTCCCTCGACCCACCACGTGTGATTTGAGAGACGTAGGGGGCCCGGTGACAGGGGGATATTGTTGGCTGGGGGGTGGGATGGGGGTACCGGGGAACGCTGTTGATATAATGTTGCATCAAGTTCTGTTATTGTTGCATGTTTTACCTATGGGACCGTTCTAGCACCTTTTTTTTTTTTCCTATACTTGGCCCCGTGCTGACCAAACATCAACCCGAGTCACCAACTGGTGCTCTAGTGAGAAATGGCAGACTCTTACCGCCAGGCGAGTAGTTGGGGAGGACAACTGTTGACTGACAGAGATATCCTGCACTTGGTCCCCCTACGGTCATTATAGAACATAATGGTATCGCTGACCCCCCTTCCCCCCCCCTCCTGCTGCACCAGGACACATACGGCTAAATTTTGAGATCCAGATAGCGATAGACCGCGAACCAGGGGCGACTCCTTCACCCTGGGGGCACATGAGGGACTTGGGGGTTCTGGGACGGGAACAGTAGCTGATGCCTAACCAATCTACCACGCTCCCGAGACACACTCCTGAGAAACAGAGAGCACCAGGCAACTGCAGATTGACCTACTTGGCTCGACACTAGTTGACGGGGGTCGGGTGGGGCTGACGGTTCCACTGTTTGGTTTACCAATTCTCTTGGGCAGAGCCTGACGCGCGCTTCCCACATTACACACTCATGCTACGAGTTGGACAGCCGGGCTGTGGTTGCTCTCGTCCACTGGGCAGGCACCAGGGCGAGGTACCACTAGCACTGGTTGCAGCACGAAACCCACTACTTACATCACTCCGTAAGGTGCTATACTCGGGATAACCCGGCACCAGAGTAGCTGCCCGATACACGGGCCCCAACCTCGTCTCACCACATTGACCCTGGGCGGGCTTCCTCTCCGGGATCCGGAGTCCTGATCTAACTTCCTAGAGCATCTGCCATTATCCTTCCTTTCTTCCCATTCCTCTCTTCCCTCTCCACCTCCTTTACCCTTCCTACATTGATTTGTGTCAAGGCCGCGTGACCTGACGGTTTCCTACAGGGACATAGGATATCTTAACACATTAGGGATCTAAAGGCACACTTGGACCACGCTTTGGGAATGGCCTACCAAAATACACCCCTAAGGGTCCTTACACAAAACTGCAGAGGCCTCAATATACCTGAACGCAGATCACATCTTTTGAGGGAACTGAAGAAAAAACACATATCAGTGGCTATGATCCAGGAAACCCACTTTAAAGAGGGCGCAGCACCTCCACTAAAAAATAGACACTACCCAAATAACTTTTTCTCCAACCATTCGACGGCCCACAAAGCTGGAACAGCCATCATCCTGGCTGCCGAGCTCGAATTCAAGGAACTCGAACGTGCTCAAGACTCCCAAGGACGATACCTCTTCCTAAAAGGGTCATAGCTGATAAGGTATACACCCTGGCCAGCATTTACGTCCCCAACCGACGGCAAACACCTTTTCTTCGCAATACGCTCCACATCCTGGAGGACTTTACGGATGGTATCCTGATAGTGGGGGGAGACTTCAATGTGCCCCTGGACCCAGTGCTAGATTCCTCGACGGGACATAGCTGCATCCCGCAGAGCAGCATACGTTCTATTCGGAGATCACTGGAAGACCTAAGATTGGCTGACTGCTGGAGGACACTTAACCCATCGGTGAAGGATTACATCTACTACTCCGCCCTCCACAATCGGTACTCGCGCATAGACTACCTCTTCATCACACAAGAGGGACTTACCCGCCTTCTTAGATCCGACATAGACCCAGCCAAGTGGTCTGATCACGGTTCGGTTTGGATGGATCTGGAATCCCCTTTGTTCCGACCATCGACCTGGACTTGGAGACTCAATGAGGCGCTGCTGTTGGACCCCACTACAAAAGACCAAATACATCAGGAATTGGAACACTACTTCAGGGAAAATGGCGTGCCTGAAGCATCCCCGATATCCGCGTGGGAGGCCCACAAAAGTGTCATTCGCGGTATATTTATCCGCTTTGCGTCGCAAAAACGAAAAGCAACTATGATTGAGATGACCGACTTATACCAGAAGATAACTTCGCTGGAGAGCCAACACAAACGGTCACAGCTGACCGGGGTCTACGGGGAACTGATGGAACATAGGAGGAAACTTAAAGACCTCATCACACGAAAACACCTTCGCAGTCTACAACGCACGAAAGGGTTCTACTATGCCCACGCTAATAAGGGGGGGAGATACCTGGCTAGGCTACTCAAGGGCCCTATGCCCCGCAGGCAAATACGACAACTGTGACTGGCCTCGGGTGAGGTGACCCCCTTCCCACAGAAGATAGCTGATGAGTTTCGGACCTTCTACCAAAACCTTTATAACTTACATCCTCCCCATCGGATGACGCTCGAAGCAAGCCACGACGCACGAATAACAGACTACTTGTCCGACACGATCACTAACGTAATCGGCCAAGACTCGGCGGCCGTGCTCGACACACCAATCAGCACGGAGGAGCTAGCGGCAGCCCTTAAGGTATCCAAATCAGGCAAGGCCCCAGGTCCGGACGGCTTCTCGACTGGTTACTATAAGAGTTTCTCCAATCTCCTTCTGCCGTGGCTGACCAAAGCGATTAACGCGGTGGGTGAGGGCGGGAACCTGGGCGCGGAGTCCCTAGCAGCGACCATTACGGTTTTGCTTAAGCCGGGAAAGGACCCACTACTCTGCGGAAGCTATCGCCCAATTTCCTTGTTGAACGTAGACGCCAAGTTATTCACCAAGGTAATTGCAAGCAGACTCAACCACCTCCTACCGGATCTGATTCACGTAGACCAGACTGGCTTCATCCCGGGACGGGAGGCTAGGGATAGCACTTTGCGGCTGTTCTCCATCTAACAAAATGCCAGAACAACAAAAACCCGGCTACTCCTCTTATGAACTGATGCGGAAAAGGCATTTGATAGGGTCGACTGGACGTACATGAAGGCCACACTACATCGGATGGGATGTGGACAGAGGTTCCTCACGTGGATATCAGCTTTATATAGTAAACCACACGCGAATGTGAGAGTTAACGGGTCCACGACTGCCGACTTCGCGATAAGCAATGGCACCCGTCAGGGTTGCCCACTCTCGCCACTTCTGTTCGCAATGTCATTGGAACCACTACTCCAGGCGATTCGCTTAAACCCGGACATTCAGGGCTATAACTGGCGAGATACACACCATAAAGTAGCCGCGTACGCTGATGACCTCTTGTTTTTTGTGCAAAGCCCTAGGACAACATTACCCTGCCTGCTCTCAGAATTCGACAAATTTGGTCAAATCTCGGGCTTCAAGCTTAACCTCTCAAAATGCGAAGTCTTGAACATCACGATTCCTTCCGAAGAATACGCATCCCTTGACTCACAATTTCCTTTCCGTTGGTGTTATGGTAAAATTAAATACCTGGGAATCTGGGTGGCTACGGCTCCAGACGACATATATCGAATCAACTTTGCTCCCCTCATGAAGTCAATCGTGACTGACTTGAATAGATGGTCGTACCCTCACATAACATGGCACGGCAGAGTGGCAGTACTCAAAATGAATATCTTACCGAGAATTCTCTACCTTATGCAGACAATCCCACTGGCCATACCAAGTATCTTCTTTTCCTCTCTGAAAACGGCTATAATCAAATTTGTATGGCGCGGCGATCGCTCCAGAATCCGACATGACATTCTTTGCCGACCAAGAAATCACGGAGGACTCGCACTCCCGGATATCAAGAAATATCATCAAGCCACGATGATGCAACGGATACTGGACTGGCATCAGGACCCCACGACGAAACAATGGGTAGAACTTGATAAAGGCCTACTCGGACCATCACTCGAGATGGAGATATGGGGAGGTGTGAGGGGTCAGGTGTCCAACGAAAACAAAGGGGGCCTGATACGACACACGCTGTTCGGCTGGAGGTCGCTGAGGAACCTGGGCCACATCTCGCCCACTCCCAGCCCCATGATTCCGATCACGCATAATGTGACTTTAGGAGGCGGAATACCATCAGGGGCATGGCCTATCGCGGGCACTAGGGACTATGTCCCCATCTATCAAGTTCTTGAAGGGGGCAGGCTGCGGGACCTGACCTCTTTATTGGGGACAGAACCTAGGACCCCTCTTGCGATCCTTAGATACCTTCAATTGCAACACTACTATAACTTGCTGCCGCATAAAGATCGCCTACATCGCGATCTCACTTGGTTTGAAGGCCTATGCGTCCGGGGCACCCCACTAGACCACGCAATCTCGGCGATGTACCAACACTTACTTATAGGGGATACGCCTCAGGCCTCCACCTTTCGCCGTCAATGGGAGGAACAACTCGGAAAGACACTCACACCCGCACAATGGGACACGGCATTACTGTGGCAGCAGAAAAGCTCAATGAGTTCGTACTACCAGGAAGTTAATTACAAATTGCTCTCATTATGGTACAGGACCCCGATATTGTTGCACAGGATCTTCCCATCAATCACCCCACTGTGCTGGAGATGCCAGGCAGAACGCGGCACGCTGATACACATATGGTGGGAATGTAGGGACATCGTTCCATACTGGGCGATGATTAACCCCTTAAGGACTGGACTGTTTTTGCGATGTTGTACATTTGCGACCAGGCATATTTTTACACTTTTGTGGTGTTTGTGTTTGGCTGTAATTTTCCGCTTTCTCATTTACTGTTCCCATACAAATTATATATTGTTTTTTTCAGGACAAAAGGGGCTTTCTTTACATACCATTATTTATATAATCTCATGTATTTTAATTTAAAAAAAATAAAAAAATATGATGAAAAATTGAAAAAAATACATGTTTTTTGACTTTTACTTGAAAAATCTTTTACTCATCTACAAAAGCGAATGAAAAAAACTGCTAAATAGATTCCAAATTTTGTCCTGAGTTTAAAAATACCTAGTGTTTACGTGCTTTTTTGCTTTTTTTTGCATGTTATAGGGCTATAGGTACAAGTAGGATATTGCGGTTTCAAAACATACATTTTAAAATTTATCAATAGTGACATTGTAACACTATTATCTGTCATAAATCTCTGAATAACACCCCACATGTACATATTTTTTTTAAAGTAGACAACCCAGGGTATTCAATATGGGGTATGTCCAGTCTTTTTTAGTAGCCACTTAGTCGAAAACACTGGCCAAAGTAAGCATTCATATTTGTTTGTGTGTGAAAAAAGTAAAAAAACTAAATTGAACGCTAATTTTGGCCAGTGTTTGTGACCAAGTGGTTACTAAAAAAGACTGGACATACCCCATTTGCAATACCTTGGGTTGTCTTCTTTTGCAAATGGTATGCCATCATGGGGGTAATTCTCATTCCTGGGCTACCATACGCTCTCAAAGGCAACGTAACCAACCTGGCCATTTTCAATGTAAAATATTTGACCCATATATTTGACCTTGTAACTTTCAAAAATGCTATAAAACCTGTACATGGGGGGTACTGTTTTACTCGGGAGACATCGCTGAACACAAATATTAGTGTTTAAAAACTGGAAAACGTATCACAACAATTATATCATCAGTAAAACTGCTGTTTGTGTGTGAAAAATGCAAAAAAAGTAACTTTCACTGACAATATCATCGCTGTGATATGTTTTACTGTTTTGAATCACTAATATTTGTGTTCAGCGAAGTCTCCCGAGTAAAACAGTACCCCCCATGTACAGGTTTTAGGGTGTCATAGAACGTTACAGGGTAAAATACAGTGCTAGCAAATTAAATTCTCTGGAATTTTGGCCTGGGTTGGCAGGCAGGTCCCTCAAATTGCAATCAATAAAATTACTTAATTATGTAAAATATTACATAAATACGCACGTAGAATTTAAATATATATGCATATTTATATATTTGAAGTCTACGTGTATATTTATATAATTATTTATGTAATTTTGTATATGGATGTATGTATATTTCTTATTATTTTTATTTATTTTTATATACATAGATATATATACAAATTCATTCTAAGTGTATTTTGATATAAATATATATATATTTAATTTTAAAATACAGTTAGAATAAAATTTCATATAGATATATAATTTTTTTTTAAATTTTTATTATTATTTTTAAAAAAATTATTTAATTTAAATTACTTATTATTTATATTTTATAATAATATATATATACAATATATATAGTTATTATATATATTATATATATACGTGTGTAATTTAATTATAAGTGTATTTTTATATTAATATAAGTACATATTAATATAAAAATACACTTAGTATGACATTATATATATATGATATATAGACATATATTATATAGGTATAATATATGTCTATATATCATATATACACATATATAATTATTTTTATTTTTTTTATTAACACTAACTTTAATTTATTTTTTGATTTTACACTAGCAGGGAGACTGCCTGTCAGCACAGACAGTCCCCCTGCAGGCAGCACTATGGACACCTATTGTGACCATGTGATCGCTGTGTTAAGCGATCACATGGCCACAGGGGTCCTAAATCAGTGTGGGGAGACTGTCTGGGCTGCAGGCAGTCTCCCCACAACCGGAGCCACGCTGATCGCCGCCGGGGGAACGACGGCGATCAGGTAAGTAGCTCTGACCGTTAGGACGGTCCTGAACCGTCCTCGGTCCTTAAGGGGTTAAGGAAGCGATAACTGACATCCTGGGAGACATCCCGGAATGGAGCGCGGAGCTAGCCCTGTTACACATCTCGACGCAACCCATTCGGACATACAAAAGATCTATACTACGCCACCTGTTAAACGCGGCTAAAGCTAACATACCGGCACTCTGGAAACAACGCAATATACCGTCGAAGACAGAATGGATCCGCAGGGTGGAAGACATATATGGGGCGGAAGACATTCACGCCACCCTGACCGACCGTAAAACGAAACATACGGAGATGTGGCTCCCTTGGTTCCTATTCATTACCCAATACAGACAAAGAGCAGACGCTCCTGAACCCACTAATGGAGCGACAGCAGACACTGGTTCCACTTGACGCAGACTAACCCACCCTACACCCCTTTCTTTTATACCTATTCCTGCCCTATCTTTCTTCACCTCTGCAATCACCAAGCTAATGGGCTCTGGGTCTCGGGGCAGGGGGAAGGGGCTTAGGGGGAAATATTATTGGACGTGCAATTTGCTACACCCTCACGTCACATATGCTTTTAGTCCTCGCGGGATCTGAACGATAAACCATAGCTTGGGGAACACGAGATATTCTTAGATACACATACTATTGTGGCACAAATCGAGGTGAGGGACAATACATGTTCATCACTTACGGTTATGCACCAAATAGACCTACTTCACGCTCACCATATGCTAACGCTGGTACACACACCAATGACGTAGCACACTCACTCACATTGATACTCGCGTTGTCAATACCAATGACATGTAACTCGCAATACGGGATATTGGCGTACTGCAGGCTCTGCCGGGATTGGTAACGACGTTGGCCTTAGCGCATGCTAGCTACGAACTAGGACTACTCCCACCATTTCTGCGTGCTAGGATACACCTAGCGACACCAAAACAGACCTACGGGTCCGAACCTAGCGGGAGCCAGTGGCCCGCCTTTCCTACAATGGCTTCAATTACCCGCCCAAACGACCAGGTAACGCATTGTCATGTGGCTCCTGCCATAAATAGCTGAGAACAACCTGTCCTGACGCAACTCCTGTTTACTCTTTACGCACACATTGGCTAAGTGAGGCAATCTGATTGCTCCAGCCGTTCCATTTTATATGATACCACTGTTTCCCCTCGTTGTATAATTACATTGCTTTTAAAGTGTGAACAGCATACTCACCTTGCATGAGGACCTGCGAGTCTCTCTAGGGGAAGTTATGTGGAGATTTGCATATCTCATTGTATTATATCATGTGTACCAATATACTACAGAAACCTGCGAGTTTCACACTGTTTACCAATTCATTGCTTTCCACATTTTGAACTATCTCAATAAAAAGATTTACAAAAAAAAAATTTATTTTAATGGTGAACATTCCCCCCCTCCCCGACCCAGGATTTTTCCTGGGGGATACCACTTTATCTCTTCCTCCTAGATTTATTTTTATTGATCTTTTCTATAAATATAGTGTATTTGTTATTCAAATGAAAAATTCACAGAAAAAAAAATTAACATTAAAACGTAAAGGGCACTGCTGTCCCTAAAACCATTTAATCTATCTCAATATGTTATAGTATCTGGAGTCCCCTGGCACTGTCCCTTCATTCAGTGTTAAAGGGACTCTATAGTCATCCAAACAACTTTAGCTTAAAGGACCACTATAGTGCCAGGAAAACATACTCGTTTTCCTGGCACTATAGTGCCCTGAGGGTGCCCCCACCCTCAGGGTCCCCCTCCCGCCCGGCTCTGGAAGGGGAAAGGGGTTAAAACTTACCTTTTTCCAGCGCTGGGCGGGGAGCTCTCCTCCTCTCCTCCTTCCGCGCCGTGAATGCGCACGCGCGGCAAGAGCTGCGCGCGCATTCAGCCGTCTCATAGGAAAGCATTTACAATGCTTTCCTATGGACGCTTGCGTGCTCTCACTGTGAAAATCACAGTGAGAAGCACGCAAGCGCCTCTAGTGGCTGTCAATGAGACAGCCACTAGAGGATTAGGGGGAAGGCTTAACCCATTCATAATTATAGCAGTTTCTCTGAAACTGCTATAATTATGAAAAAATGGGTTAACCCTAGAAGGACCTGGCACCCAGACCACTTCATTAAGCTGAAGTGGTCTGGGTGCCTAGAGTGGTCCTTTAATGAATTTGTTTTTGTGTATAGATCATGCCTCGGAAGTCTCACTGCTGAATTCTTTGCCATTTAGGAGTTAAATCACTTTTGTTTCTGTCAATGCAGCCCTAGCCCTAACCCACAGCCTGCAAGAAAACAAAATTATTCAATTTTCAATTAGATGTAAATGTACCTTTGAAGTTTCAAACTCCCGCTCTGTAAATTGAACTTTAGTCAAATACAGGAGGCTTCTGCAAGGTCTTGCTATTAACAGTGCTTTACAGGAAGTGTATAGGAAGGCTGTGCATGTTACACGCAGGGAGGATTGACTAGGGCTGCATAAACATATTGACTTAGATCCTAAATGGCATAAAATGGATCAGTAAGACTTTAGGTCCATTATCTATACACCAAAACTGCTTTGTGAGCTCCACATTCATTTATCTCTCATTGGAGAAGCATGGGTCAATACATTTTAGAATGTTTCACATTAACCATAATATGAATAGAATAAGCCTTGGGACTAAAATCACGAAATCTTGATTAGACTTGCTAGCATTGCCTCATATGTACATTAAATGTCTACATAAAGCATAGATATTCACTCAGGAATTGCAGCAACATATGTTCTTCAGCTTCAGGTAAGATATAAAGGGATTTCATGTCACATTAGTAAAAATAATGCATTACAATTTTTAGTTTCAACTGTACCATTTATTTTAATATATAGAATGATTCTTATGTCTGGCATGATAGCATTAATAAAAAGAATGCCCATACACACCGTTTATGTGAAATTGGCCATGACTGTCTTGTATGCCTGCTAAGGGTAGGTCAATACCATGTATTGGTGGACCACTATAAATGTATCAATTTGACAAATGTATAAATGTTATGGCTTTCCTACTCGTCCTTGTTTGGTTCACGTAGCATGCCTGAAGGATCCTTCCCCAACCACCACACTCTTTTTTTTGTCTTGTATTCTATAACCACCTGTTTTTCAGAGAAGCTTTGAAGAAGAAGCATGGGAGATCATGTCCCTGCTCTGTCATAGGAGGAGCCTATCTCTGTAATTCAGTGCACCTGCCTATGGGACCAGCATCCTACACTCAGCAGACGTTTAAGTGAAAGAAAAAAAATATTAATAAAAATATGTTTTGGTTTAATGAAAAGCTGTGGCAAGTCGTTTTCCCTCTCATTTGGAGACATGACTGAACTTTTTAAGTCAGTGAGATGCCTTCTACAAATATGCTATTTATATTAACATAGGGTATTAAAAGATGTAAGTTTACTGAAGTTTGTTTTTTGCCTTTTGCTACAGCTTAGTCTATTAAATGCTCTGAAAACTTGTAGGTCTTATATATTTAGGGGTAAGGCATACCAACCAACTTTCCTGAATCAAACAGGACAGTCTAGATTTAGGACTACTGTCCTGTCATCCTATTTTTTCTTTCTTTTGTGTCTGGGAGCAACACAAACGCTAACCCTGTAAATCACAATAATTCCACATTATTTAATCTGTGCTTATTCCTGTGCATGGCTATTTACCATAATTTCTGCCTATACAAGAGTGATGGGGGATAACACCCCCTTTACATCTCAGCATCAGAGATAACACCCCTCCCCCCCTTTACATCTCAAAAGCAACACCAACCTTACCTGCCTCCTTCCCAACCCAAGTGCATACCCCCAATGTTAAATGGTCATTGATATTTGGTAAGCAATATTTCCAGTAACTTTATTTATTTTTTTCCGATGGTGGCATAATTATCTCCTAGTAATAGTTGAATGGAAATAAACCTGAAAGTTTAATAGTAAGGATTTTTAAGTGTCGGTTTTCAGGTTGTCTTGATTTTAAGACAACTAATACCAGTAAGACAATCTCCACTTTTAAATCAGTTGTTATAGGCAAAATACATTAGCCTCTTAGATACACCTTTATCTGTAATGTTACATGGATTCTTTATATTTTAACAGTACAATACAGTCCTTGTTATTTACTGACACAATTCAATGCAAATGTACTAAATTAGAATATTAATTCATACTTTCTCATAATGACTACATGGCAAACTATAGCATTATTATCCTGCTCAAGCAATATGACCTATTACAGTGAAACAGACAATCATTTTGTACGTACATGATTTAATGCACATTGGTAATGGTGCATTAGTACAAATACACAATGTATTTGACCCAGTTTCAATTTGGCATCCATTTGCTGCGTGATAAATACTTGAATGTTGGTTGTTTTGAATATTTCTAAATCTGACATCAAAATATGATGCAACTTATTTTTCAGTGGACAAATAAATAGCCCATTATTCATTTCATTAAGATCATTATTATCAGCTCTTGTTGCAAAAATGTTCCAAAACAATGAAGTCTAAGATAAAGTTAAGAGATTTATGATCTTTTTTGGAGACATCTAGAAAATTAAGTTGCATTGAACACTAGAGAATCAGGAAAATAAAGCCATTAAATTAAAGACCTCAGTACTATATAGATATATTTCTGGTCTGAGATCAAAGCCAAATTACACAGGGAATCTTAAGTTGGTTGTAGTGTGCCAAAATCAATAGACATGTACAGGTGATACTTGAAAAATTAGAATATCATGCAAAAGTTCATTTATTTCAGTAATGCAACATAAAAGGGGAAACTAATATATGAGATAGACGCATTACATGCAAAGCAAGATAGTTCAAGTCGTGATTTGTCAAAAGTGTGATGATTATGGCTTACAGCTCATGAAAAACCCAATTCCCAGGAATGGGCACTCCTTCTCTGATTGGTCGCCTGCGACCAATCAGTGCTCACTCATGCCGACTCATCAGGAGAATGGCGCAAACCCAGTTTGAATGGGAGCTCCTTCTCCTATTGGTCGGCTCGGACTTCCAGGCGGCCAGCGGGATCTCTGTGGCTGTGAAGCAAACTCACAGCCCCAGGGATCCCACTTGAGGTGACAACCTCCACTTAGGCAGCCCCGGGGAGAGCGCTCTCTGGGCAGCCACTAGCCTGGCCTTGTAGCTCCCAAGTAGGGAGGACAGTGACTATAGCTCCATTAGGAGCAGGTAGGACGAGCCCCGACACTGGGACCTTAAAACGTGCGGGCACGCCAGTTCGGATAAGAATGCTTCCCCTGGTTGGCGTTCAGCTATATGAACCGGCAGCCACCCAGGGGAGCATTCGTTAATGATTTCCCTTGTGGTTTTAGAACGTTCTAATGAGCATTCTAAATGGGAAATCAATGGGTTCCATTTGTATGAGCTCTCCCAAACGGG